TGCTTCGGCTCCGATACTGTCTCATCCCAATCCGGGGTTGCCTTTTGTCCTTGAGGTTGATGCATCTGAGACGGGAGTAGGTGCGCCCTCCTGTCTCAGCCTAACTTGCCCGATGGACCCCTACTTCCCTGTGGGTTCTACTCCAGGAAGCTTTCCTTCGCAGACTGCAACTACCAGATTGGAGACAGGGAGTTGTTGGCCATTATTCAGGCTCTCAAGGAATGGAGGCACCTGCTCGAGGGTTCTGTGGTTCCGGTTCTCATTCTCACTGACCACAAGAACCTGATGTATCTCTCGGAAGCTAAGAGGTTGACGCCCTGTCAAGCCAGATGGGCTCTGTTCTTGTCGCGTTTTAACTATGTGGGTCTCCTATTTGCCTGGCTCTAAGAATGTCAGGGTTGATGCCTTGTCACGGCAATACTCTGAGCTGTCCAGGGAGGACTCTGAGCCAACCTCGGTCATACCTCTGGATCAGATCCTGGCTGCCATTCGTACCAGCCTGACTTCTCCCCTTGGGGAGCAGATTTTGGCGGCTCAAACTGATGCTCCCTCTGAGAGACCGGCTGGTAGATGTTTCGTACCTGAGGGATTGCGCATCCGCTTGCTGCATACCTACCATAATTCCAAGACCGCCAGTCATCCAGGGAGAAACCAGTTGTCCTGGGGTCTCTCCATTCCGACATCGCCTCATATGTAGTGGCATGTTCTGTCTGTGCCCAGAATAACTCTCCTTGGCATCTTCCATTGGGCCTTCTGCAACCCATTCCCAATGGGGAGTGTACCTGGTCACACCTGGGCATGGATTTTATTGTAGACCTCCCTGCGTCTCGAGGCCATACGGTCATTCTTATGGTCATTGATCATTTCTCCAAGATGTGCCATTGTGTTCCGTTCAAGAAATTGCCGACTGCGCAAGAACTGGCTACGGTTTTCGCCAGGGAGATCTTTCGCTTGCATGGGTTGCCTAAGGTGATTGTCTCGGACCGTGAGAGCTAGTTTGTGTCCAGGTTCTGGCGCGCCTTCTGCTCCCAGTTGGGTATCAAGCTCTCCTTCTCTTCGGCCTACCACCCACAGTCCAATGGAGCTGCGGAGCGTTCCAACCAGGCCCTGGAACAATTCCTTTGCTGCCATATCTCTGACCATTAAGACAATTGGGTCGATCTCCTGCCATGGGCAGAGTTTGCGAGGAACTCGGCTGTCAACTCCTCCCCCGGGATGTCTCCCTTCATGGCCAACTATGGATTCCAACCCGCTGTATTGCCTGAGTTGTTCTCGCCACAGGACATTCCGGCTGTGGATAACCATCTTGCTGCCCTGCGTTCCTCGTGGGGGCAGATCCAGAGGTCCTTGAAGGACTCAGCTCAGCACCAGAAGCTCCAGGCTGATTGTAGACGGTTGCCTGCTCCTTCATACCAGGTCGGAGATCAGGTGTGGTTGTCCACTCGTAACCTCAATCTTCGGGTGCCCGCACCAAAACTGGCTCCCCGTTTTGTTGGTCCTTTCCGCATCCTCCGCAGGGTGAACCCGGTTGCCTATGCCCTTGCTCTTCCTCCTGGGATGCATATCTCCAATGTCTTCCACGTATCCCTGTTGAAGCCTCTGGTTTGTAATCGCTTTACTGCCTCTCCGCCTCGGCCTCATCCTATCCGGGTCAACGATCATGAGGAGTATGAGGTGAGCCACATCCTGGACTCTCGGTTGGTCCGCGGTCGGGTGCAGTTCCTGGTCCATTGTCATGGTTATGGTCCCGAGAAGCGTTCCTGGGTTCCTTCCGCAGATCTTCACGCTCCTGCCCTCCTCCGCGCTTTTCACCCCCGCTTTCCACAGAAGCCTTATGTTGAGCGAGGGGGAGGGGCCCTTGAGGAGGAGGTACTGTCAAGGTCCTACCTTTCCTCAGACCTTGTGCTGCTCCATGTGCTGGCATCCATCTTAGGTGTCTGCAAAGCATTGTGGGATCCTTTATGCTTTCAGCCCTCTGCGGCTCCTCCCCCAGGACGTGGCGGCTTATCACATATGAGTCTGCTGTTTGTAGCTTTCCATTGCATTCGTGCACTGTCTGTTGCAGAACAGCAAGCTCCTGTTTAGATACTCATTGCTTTCCTTAATACCGACTCGGCTTTGGCTATGACTCCTCCTGGCTTCTGACCCCGGCTCTGGCGACCATTCTTCCTGGCTCCTGATCCCGGCTCTGGCGATGATTCTTCCTGGCTTCTGATCCCGGCTTTGGCGACGATTCTTCCTGTCTTTTGACCCCGGCTTTGGCTACGATTTCCGCTGTTGGACTTGCATATACTCTTGTCTTATTTTTATACTAATAAACCTACCTTTAATTGCACCTCCTTGTGTGTCTGGCTCCTCGCTCCCTGACACTTGCTTCTTAGGAGGCTGAACAGGCCTTGCATTGGACCAAACATAGATTTTATACCTGTGCTAATAAGCCGGGTCCGATGCTGGCTAGAAAACTCAATTCTGTGAGGAAACCCCACAAACCGGTCCGTTTATGACTCCCTGCGGGGGATGCACTTCTAATCCCCAGCAGATCGTTTCATGCATCGCGGACTTCCTTTCATGCCTATACGCCAAACTAGATCCCTTCCCTGTAGCTCAAGAAGAAGAGTTCTTTCAAGAACTCTTCGACTTCCTGGATTGTCCGAAGTGGCGCAGGTAGCCCTCAATGCCGATGTAACCATATCGGAAGTACTTCAAGCTATCAAATCTTTACAGTCCACCGTGGCCCCAGGCCCTGATGGCTTTTCAGGCCTCTATTATAAGAAATTTGTGATCCAGTTGGAGCCCTTTTTGGCTGGTTACTTCAATGAGTTATGACAAGGTTCTTTGCCCTGTCCATATGTGCTCAGAGCTCATATCTCAATGATTCCTAAGACAACGGATGATGTGCAGGAACTGAAAGCCTTTCGGCCCATTTCTCTTCTTAACAAAGATCTGAAGATATTGGGCAAGATTCTCAGTCTTCGAATAAATAAATATTTGCATAGTTTGGTCCATAGGGATCAAGTTGGTTTCGTCCTTGGGAGACAGGCAGGTGATAACGTTCGTAAGGTGGTCCACTTTATACACCGTCTACAACAGCGGAAAATCCCAGGATTCTTACTGTCTCATGACATATAAAGCTTTTGATTCCTTATCCTTGGAATACCTGTGGTTCGTGCTGTCCCGTTGGGGATTCTATTCTTTCTTGGATTAAGGCCTTATATTCTTTCTGTTCAGCTGTGGTTAAGTATGCGGGGTACTTCTCAGACCCCTTTCCTATTTGGTAGGGGACAAGACAGGGATGCCCCTGTCTCCGGTTCTCTTTGTCCTGGCACTTGAGCCGCTGACTTTAGTGCTTCGGGCTGATTGCAACTTATCAGGTTTTCCATACGTGGGACAGGAAAATAAGTTGAACCTTTTTGCAAATGATGCCCTCTTGACTCTCACTAATCCCTTGATGATGCTCCCAAATTTGCAATAGGTCCTTGATTCTCCCTAATTTCGGGTCTCCGTATTAATTTGGATAAGACTGTCGCTCTCAATATTACCTTGGTCCCTGATTTGGTTTCACGCTTACAGTCTCACTTCCCTTATAAATGGGCTTCCTCTTCACTTGAATACTTGGACATCTGCCTGACCCCTACCAATGGCTCTTTGTTTGCTGCAAATTATTATCCCTTGCTTTGTTATGTGTCCTCTCTTATGCAGTCTTGGCAATTCCCGCACCTGTCCTGGATAGGACGGATCAACTCAGTGAAAATGACCATCCTGCCTAAATTATTATATTATTCTCGCACCCTCCCAATGTGGGTTCCTCCTCATTTTCTTCAGCTGATTCAGGCAAGGATTATGCAATTCATCTGGGCCAACAGACTTTTTTATCCATAGACTCCAGGGAGGTCTTGGGGTATAGCTAAGTATTACCAGGCAAGCCAGATTTCCCCACTGTCTATTTTGCACGCTTCCTCTGATGTTCTTCTTTGGGTCCTTTGGAACTGCCTACAGTGAAGGAAATAAGTATTTGATCCCCTGCTGATTTTGAATGTTTGCCCACTCACAAAGAAATGATCAGTCTAAAAATTGAATGGTAGGTATATTGTAACACTGAGAGACAGAATAGCAACAAAAAATTCAAAAGAAATGCATGTCTAACAAATTATGCACTGATTTGCATGTTCATGTAACTGTGCCCCCATCGTGACATCAACTCTTTTACGGCTCCCCCCTGCCCTGCGCCCACTGACACAGTCTGATTTTGCTCCATGGCCTACGAATGTGGGATTTGGTACATTACTCCAGTGGCTTGATGCCTCCCTTTCTGCCTATGCTCCCAATTACTAATAATCCTCTTTTCCCGTTGGGCTTCCAGGGGCGTTCTCCTGGTGGGTGGCCAATGGTTTTTCACAAGTGCAACACTTATTGACTTTTCGGTCCTTCCCCTCTTGGAGCTCTCTTCGGGAGTCACGGGATGTTCCTCAAGCATAATGTTTTCGTTATCTTCAATTGCGGCATTGGCTGACCTCATTGCGGGGCAATTCTGCTTTCCCATATCAGAAATCTGCCTTTGAATAGCTTTGAAAACAGCGTCCGGATGCTCCGGGCCTTGTTTCCCTACTTTATGCATCCTTAAATAGGTGCTCAATTCGTACCTCTCTATCATATGTTGCCCAGTGGAAGCGTGATGTCAGGGCTCTGGGTATGACCAGAGGTGTGTGTACTGACACAGGGAAACGCAGGCTTCAGATATGGTATATAAGACAATTTATTAAGACTAACAATACAAATATAAACGCAGTGCACCAAACCCCAAGCTAACACAAATACATACAACAAGGTGAAACAAACCAAAACCTAAACTGGTATAGATACACAGGTACATACACATATAGAGCACAACGTAGTCAGGCAGGCCGGGTCGATAACTATCGGGCAGGTAGGTACAGGAGGAGCAGGCGGAGAGAATGGTCAGGGTCACAAGCCAGGGATCAAACAGGAGAAGTCAGCAGAGGTCAGGATCAGGCAGGGTCGGCAACAAGTCAGGCAGGAACAGGAACAGGAATGCAGGTTACAAGATACAGGGGCCCATGGAAAAACACACACCAAGGCACAGACTGCAGGTCTGGCCATCCCTTAAATACACCACCTGCAATCAGCCCCAGGTGATGGCTAATTGCCGAAGTGAACCTCTGGTTGTTGAGAGCACCTGCTGGCCAGCCCTGGTACTGCAGCCCACAAGGCAGGTGAGTCCCACCGCTATTGGCAAGTCCATTCCTGACAGTACCCCCCCCCCTCAAGGAGTGGCCTCAGGACGCTCCAAACAGTCCTAGCCTTGCAAAATGTTCCACCGCCCGGGTCCGGTGACTGGCGGGATATCAGAGACTGGCACATTGGGCTGGGCACCGGACGGAGGCACTTCGGGCTGGGCACCGGACGGAGGCACTTCGGGCTGGGCACCGGACGGAGGCACTTCGGGCTGGGCACCGGACGGAGGCACTCCGGGCTGGGCACCGGACGGAGGCACATCAGGCTGGACGCCGGATCACCAGTGGGCTCTGAGTCAACTGGCGGAACAGCGGACACCAAGTCGTCTGGCATGACTGCGGGCACTGAGTCGTCTGGCAAGACAGCGGGCTCCGAGTCAACTGGCAAGACAGCGGGCACCGAGTCGTCTGGCGGAACAGCGGGCATCGAGTCGTCCGGCAAGACTGTGGGCACCAAATCGTCTGGCAAGACTGCGGGCACCGAGTCGTCTGGCAAGACTGCGGGCTCCGAGTCGTCTGGCAAGACAGCAGGCTCTGAGTCAACTGGCAAGACAGCGGGCACCAAGTCGTCTGGCGGAACAGCGGGCATCGAGTCATCTGGCAAGACTGCAGGCACCGAGTCGTCTGGCAAGACTGCGGGCACCGAGTCGTCTGGCAAGACTGCGGGCACCGAGTCGTCTGGCAAGACTGCGGGCACCGAGTCGTCTGGCAAGACTGCGGGCACCGTGTCGTCTGGCAAGACTGCGGGAATCCGGTCATCAGGCATAATAGGATCATCAGGCTGGATCAGTTCATCAGGCTGGGTAAGGACATCAGGCTGGGTAAGGACATCAGGCTGGGTAGAGACATCAGGCTGGGTAGAGACATCAGACATCAGGCTGGGTAGAGACACCAGGCTGAATAGAGACACCAGGCTGAATAGAGACATCAGGCTGAATAGAGACATCATGCTGGGTAGAGACATCATGCTGGGTAGAGACATCATGCTGGGTAGAGACATCAGGCTGGGCAAAGACATCAGGCTGGGTAAAGACATCAGGCTGGGTAGAGACATCAGGCTGAATTGTGGGTGCCGAGGCACCAGGCTGCACCACGGAAGGCGGGTTCTCAGATGGAAGGCTGACCAGTTTGGATACTGGCAGGATGGTATTGGTTGGAAAGAACTTTCGCCTTTTCCTGGTTTTAGTTACCAGAGCACTGTAAGTAAGCGCAGGTTTGTAAACGGATGGAGCAGCTGAAGACAGAGAAGAGCTGGAGGATGGAACAGAGGAGGGAGCAGTTGCTACAGAGGACTTCTTTACAGGGTTGAAGAAAGGATAGGTGCAGCGAGTGGGAGCAGGGGACTGGTATGTGGTAGTTAGCAGAGTATACTGGGCCATCACTGGGGGTGCTGTCGGGGATGCAGGAAGAGTGCCTTGAGCAGAGGAATGATGTTGCAAGCCGACTGAGGCTGGGTGTAACAAATCTGTCCATGTCTGCAGTACTGGTTTAACAAAACTCAGCTTACACATAGCCTGTCTGATCAAAGACTGCACTGCGTTTATGCAATCCATAAGCACATGTGATGGACATGCTGCATAGTGCTCATGGAAACAATCTGGATCATCCTCCAACAACCATACCAGTGATTCCACTTGATCCACACTAAATAGGGGAAAAAAGTAATTCCTGCTTTCAGGGGTACAGGACCGAGCCAACTCAGCACAAACCTGGATCAATGGCTGCACCTCAGAAAACTCTGTGCCCTGATCTACTAGACAATGAGCGATCCTTATACACTCTAGCAGTTGATCCCGGGTATACTCCTTCAGAGTCTGATAAGCATAGTCTTTGTCATCAAACACTAGCAGAGATAAATACACCACCTCATCAAGATCCATCCTTCCCAGCAACAATAAGCCAAGATGGCCTCCCTGTGCAGCCACTTCTGGTCAGGTTTTTGGCCTTGGTGTAATGTCAGGGCTCCGGGTATGACCAGAGGTGTGTGTACTGACACAGGGAAACGCAGGCTTCAGATATGGTATAAGTAAGACAATTTATTAAGACTAACAATACAAATATAAACGCAGTGCACCAAACCCCAAGCTAACACAAATACATACAACAAGGTGAAACAAACCCAAACCTAAACTGGTATAGATACACAGGTACATACACATATAGAGCACAACGTAGTCAGGCAGGCCGGGTCGATAACTAGGTTCAGGAGGAGCATGGGGAAAAGAATGGTCAGGGTCATAAGCCAGGGATCAAACAGGAGAAGTCAGCAGAGGTCAGGATCAGGCAGGGTCGGCAACAAGTCAGGCAGGAACAGGAACAGGAATGCAGGTTACAAGATACAGGGGCCCATAGAAAAACACACACCAAGACACAGACTGCAGGTCTGGCCATCCCTTAACCACTTGAGCACCTGAGGATTTACCCCCCTTAATGACCAGGCCTTTTTTTGCTGTTTGGCGCTGCACTAATTCAAATGATAATTGCGCGGTCATGCAATGCTGTACCCAAACGAAATTTATGTCCTTTTTTTCACACAAATAGAGCTTTCTTTTGGTGGTATTTTATCACCTGTGCGCTTTTTATTTTTTGCGCTATAAACAAAAAAACCACAAAAATTTTGAAAAAAAAACAATATTTTCTACTTTCACTTATAAAAAATATATCGTAAACTCAAAGTTAGTCATAAATTTAAGCCAAAATGTATTCTGCTACATGTTTTTGGTAAAAAAAAATCCCAATAAGTGTATATTGATTGCTTTGTATGAAAGTTATAGCGTCTACAAACTGTGGTATAGATACTGGAATTTATGCCTTTTTTTGCTATACAGCGCTGCACTAATTCAAATGATAATTGCGCGGTCATGCAATGCGGTACCCAAACAAAATTTACGTCCTTTTTTTCACACAAATAGAGCTTTCTTTTGGTGGTATTTGATCACCTGTGCGCTTTTTATTTTTTGCGCTATAAACAAAAAAACACGAAAATTTAAAAAAACAATATTTTCTATTTCAGCTATAAAAAATATATCGTAAACTCAAAGTTAGTCATAAATTTAAGCCAAAATGTATTCTGCTACATGTTTTTGGTAAAAAAAAAATACCAATAAGTGTATATTGATTGCTTTGTGTGAAAGTTATAGCGTCTACAAACTATGGTATAGATACTGTAATTTATGCCTTTTTTTGCTATACAGCGCTGCACTAATTCAAATGATAATTGCGCGGTCATGCAATGCTGTACCCAAACGAAATTTACGTCCTTTTTTCACACAAATAGAGCTTTCTTTTGGTGGTATTTGATCACCTGTGCGCTTTTTATTTTTTGCGCTATAAACAAAAAAAATGAACATTTTGAAAAAAAACAATATTTTCTACTTTCAGCTATAAAAAATATATTGTAAACTCAAAGTTAGTCATAAATTTAAGCCAAAATGTATTCTGCTACATGTTTTTGGTAAAAAAAATCCCAATAAGTGTATATTGATTGCTTTGTGTGAAAGGTATAGCGTCTACAAACTATGGTATAGATACTGTAATTTATGCCTTTTTTTGCTATACAGCGCTGCACTAATTCAAATGATAATTGCGCGGTCATGCAATGCTGCACCCAATTGAAATTTACGTCCTTTTTTTCACACAAATAGAGCTTTCTTTTGGTGGTATTTGATCACCTATGCGCTTTTTATTTTTTGCGCTGTAATAAAAAAAAAAACACGAAAATTTTGAAAAAAAACAATATTTTCTACTTTCAGCTATAAAAAATATATCGTAAACTCAAAGTTAGTCATAAATTTAAGACAAAATGTATTCTGCTACATGTTTTTGGTAAAAAAAATCCCGTACATTAGCGGGCAAACTGGCGCTATCTAGGAGGGGCGCTAACACTATCGGAAGTCACCAGTGACACTAATACAGTGATCAGTAAAAATCTGTTCACTGTAATCAATAACACTGGTGACAGGGCAGTGAAGGGGTTAACTGGGGGGGGGGGGGGAGGGGGGCAATCAAGGGGGTTAAATGGGATTTCTGGTGCCCTAGCGGGCAAACTGGCGGTATCTGGGAGGGGCGCTAACACTATCGGAAGTCGCCAGCGACACTGATACAGTGATCAGTAAAAATCGGTTCACTGATCAGTGACACTGGTGACAGGGCAGTGAAGGGGTTAACTGGGGGGGAGATTAAGGGGTTAAATGGGATTACTGGTGTACTAGCGGGCAATCTGGCGCTATCTGGGAGGGGCGCTAACACTATCGGAAGTCGCCAGCGACACTGATACAGTGATCAGTAAAAATTGGTTCACTGATCAGTGACACTGGTGACAGGGCAGTGAAGGGGTTAACTGGAGGGGGAGATTAAGGGGTTAAACGGGATTACTGGTGTACTAGCGGGAAATTTGGCGCTATCTGGGAGGGGCGCTAACACTATCGGAAGTCGCCAGCGACACTGATACAGTGATCAGTAAAAATTGGTTCACTGATCAGTGACACTGGTGACAGGGCAGTGAAGGGGTTAACTGGGGGGGGGGGGGCGATCAAAGGGGTTAAACGGGGATTACTGGTGTACTGGCGGGCAATCTGGCGCTATCTGGGAGGGGCGCTAACACTATCGGAAGTTGCCGGCGACACTGATACAGTGATCAGTAAAAATTGGTTCACTGATCAGTGACACTGGTGACAGGGCAGTGAAGGGGTTAACTGGGGGGGGGGGAGATTAAGGGGTTAAATGGGATTACTGGTGTACTAGCGGGCAATCTTTCGCTATCTGGGAGGGGCGCTAACACTATCGGAGGTCGCCAGCGACACTGATCAGTAAAAATTGGTTCACTGATCAGTGACACTGGTGACAGGGCAGTGAAGGGGTTAACTGGGGGGGGGGGCGATCAAGGGGTTAAACGGGATTACTGGTGTACTGGTGGGCAATCTGGCGCTATCTGGGAGGGGCGCTAACACTATCGGAAGTCGCCAGCGACACTGATACAGTGATCAGTAAAAATTGGTTCACTGATCAGTGACACTGGTGACAGGGCAGTGAAGGGGTTAACTGGGGGAGGGGGGCGATCAAGGGGTTAAACGGGATTACTGGTGTACTGGCGGGCAAACTGGCGCTATCTGGGAGGGGCGCTAACTCTATCGGAAGTCGCCAGTGACACTGATACAGTGATCAGTAAAAATCATTTCACTGATCAGTGACACTGGTGACAGGGCAGTGAAGGGGTTAACTGGGGGGGCAATCAGGGGGTTAAATGTGTCCTAGGTGTGTTCTAACTGTTAGTGTAGTGCTTTGTACTCACTTTTACTGTGTCTTCTTCTCTGTCTGGAACGGAATGTGTCCAGGCAGAGAAGAATGACATCATATCCTGTCCTGTGTAAATGTCAACACAGGACAGGATAGGACAGGGACCGATCATCTGATTTCAGCCAGACATCACTGGCTGAAATCTAATGATTGATCCCTCTGGGATCGAATCGTGTCACCCCCGGGTCGGCGGGGAGCGCACGCGCGTGCCCCCCTACCCGCGAAAGTGTCGGGAGCGCGGAGCCCGTTTTAAAACGTGCTTTTGCGCTCCACTGCCGCCCTGCACACGTATATATACAGTGGCAGGGCGGCAAGCGGTTAAATACACCACCTGCAATCAGCCCCAGGTGATGGCTAATTGCTCTGGTTGTTGAGAGCACCCGCTGGCCAGCCCTGGTACTGCAGCCCACAAGGCAGGTGAGTCCCACCACTATTGGCAAGTCCATTCCTGACACGTGACTTGGGGGAAGTCATGGATCTGGAGGGCTGGAACAGGGCCTGGTCATTTAAAAGCCTGTCACTATACTGCCCATACCTGCCACTATACTGCCCCAGCCTGCACTATACTGCCCCAACCTGCCACTATATTGCCCTAACCTGCCACTATACTGCACTAGGCTGCCACTATAGTGTCTAAACCTGCCACTCTACTGCCCCAATCTGCCACTATACTGCTCTAACCTGACACTATGCTGCCCAAGCGTGCCACTATACTGCCCTAACTTTTCACTATACTACCATGAAACTGCCCTAGCATGCCACTATACTGCCCTAGACTGCCATTTTACTGCTCTAACCTTCCACTATACTGCCCTGGCCTGCCATTATATTGCCCTAACCTTCCACCATGCTGCCCTAACCTTCCAACATGCTGCCCTAACCTGTCACTATGCTGCGCTGACCTGCCTCTATTCTGCCATTAAACTGACCCAGCCTTCTACTATATTGCTCTAACCTGTCACTATATTGCCCTAGCCTGTCACTATACTGCTCTGACCTGCTGCTATACTGCCCTAGCCTTCCACTATGCTGCACTGGCCTGCCACTATACTGCCCTAACCTGCCACTATACTGTCCTAACCTACCACTATACAACCCCAACCTGCCACTATACTGCTCCAGCCTGCCACTATAGTGCTCTAACCTGCCACTATACTGCCCCAGCCTGCCACTATATTGATCTAACCTGCCACTATACTGCCCCAGCCTGCCACTGTACTGCCCTAGCCTGTAAATATACTGCCCTAACCTGCCGTTATACTGCCCTAGCTTGCCATTATACTTTCTCTAATCTGCCACAATACTTACCCAGCCTGCCACTATACTGCCCTAACCTTCCACTATACTGCTCTAGCCTGCCACTATACTGCGTTAGCCTGCCATTATACTGCCTCAATCTGCCACTATACTGCCATTATACTGCTCTAGCCTGTCACTATGCTGAACTAGCATAACCATATCTCTCTTATATATGTGTGAATAAAGTATGGCATTAGGTTAGTGATATGCTGCTTTCAAAACCATGGCTGTTTTAAATGCATACCTCATCCCTAACTTAAGTACTTTCTTCATCTACATTGGCTTTTTTAGGCACATAGCAAAAAAAGTTGACCATGGAAATGTTTTTAAAATGTTGGCAACTATGCTGAACTACTTCTACTATCTCTGCACTGCACATAGCCTGGGCAAAGGCAGCAGAGCGCCTACTCCCCACACAGCACTTAGCTGAGATCAGATTCCCTTACATACAACCACAATCTGTACAGTGTGTAGCTGGCTACTATGCTACAGTTCTGACTGTGAAATTCCATGGTCAGAATGGTAGCAGAAGCCAGCTACACACTGTGTAGATCAAGGTTGTGTGTAAAGGAATCCAATCTCAGCTGTGTGTAATGTGTGGCTAGGAGAAGATTTGCTGCCTGCACCCAGCCTGTGTGCAGTGCAGGGATGGGAAAAGGAGTTCTGCTGAGTGCCCTGCCAGCAGTGACCCCTAACCTCTTCTGATTTCTTCCTACAGTGACCCCTGTCCTCTACCCTGCCAGCAGTGACCCCTGACCTCTGCCTTTTGCCTTGCCAGCAGTGACTCCTATCTTTTGCCCTACCAGCAGTGACCTCTGTCTTCCGTCCTGCTGACCCCTGTTCTTTGCCCTGTGGACTTATGTACACTGTTAATGGTCTCTGTTCCCTGCCCTACAAAATGATGCCCCTATCCTCTCTGTCCTGGTGACCCCCTATACACTGCCCTGCCGACCTCTCATCCTGTGCCCCCCCTAACATTTTTTTTATTGCACCCCCACATTGGACAGGCTAGAACCCTGTATCTGGTAACGTTTCCCACTGTGGGGATGTGTGAAATATTCCCCACTAATCAATGAGTTGCATACATTACAATTGTAACACTTGTAACAACCCTGTCATTTTGAGAACTTGAACACTGCTTTAGCATATTTGGTCCTAGGGTCTGTATTAACTAATAAGTCACGTAGGGATCTACCTCGTTTATGTACCAATAATGGTGGATTCTTTAAGTCGGGTGATAGAGTGTCATCAGCTCTAAGGATGTTCATGTTACGCATGACTGCTTGTTTAATATGCTCAGATTCCTGATTGAAGCTGTGTATAAATAGCGGCCTGTTGGCAGCCCTAGGGCTGCCTTCAAAATCTGCTGTAGCTTTGGCTAATGCCTGGTCAAGTACTCAAGTAGGATAACCTCGTTACACAAATTTTATATACATGGCTTCAAGTTGTTCTATCCTGTCATTCATACAGAAGCAAATGCGTAAACACTCTCTTGAACTGTGAAATAGGCAGACTATCATGGAGATGCTTGGGTGTGCACTCTGGTAATGTAGTAGGGTGTTCTTGTCTGTTTGTTCCTGTCTGTTGGTTTAGAGAACACAGATGTCTGGAGTGTACCCTGGTTACACTGTTCAACACAATTTTTGTCACAGACCCGATCTAACCTGTTCCATATGTAATTTTTCCTGTTTTTTACAAATATGGTATCAGAATTTTTCTATCACCCATACTTCCGGAGTTATGCTCTAGTAAAGTTTGTATGTTACTGTAAATTAGCCATTACAGTTTTGTTTGGGTAGAACAGAGGTTTAATATGAAAAATTCCATTGTTGTATGTTGTCAGCAGCAATCAAAAATGCTGAGTCATGTATTTATAATTACCTGGCCCCTTGCCCTAATGGCCTGGCTGATACAAGCAAAAAATGCTGAGTCATGTATTTCTGTGTGAGTGGCACAATAGGGACAGGAGAAATCATTACATCCAGAAAACAGTGGCCAAAGAGAACATCACTAGTCCCAGGACAGAAAAATGTTGCACATGACCCGCTTGTGGAGCTGAATTATTATACAGGATTTATATAAAGTATATCTACCTCCACTCCATATAAAGTTGGGTCTTATGAAGAACTTTGTAATAGCAATGGATAAAAGTGGACTTGGATTTGCATATCTAAGAAAGACATTTCCAAGGATCAGTGAAGCGAAGATCAAAGAAGGAATCTTTGTAGGACCTGACAGGATACTGATGAAAGATGAAAACTTTGACTGTCAATTGAATGAAAATGAAAGAGCTGCATGGGAGTCCTTTAAGACTGTTTGCCGCGACTTCTTGGGAAATAACAAGGCAGGCAACTACGCAGACTTAATGGATACTCTACTGAAATCTTACCAGAAACTGGGATGTAACACGTCTTTGAAAATGCACTTCTTGTATTCACACCTGGATTTTCCCCTGCAAATCTAGGAGCAGTCAGCGTTGAACATGGGGAACGGTTTCATGAGGATATTTCAGGAATGAAAAATAGATACCAGGGCAAGTGTAGCTCCAGTATGCTTGCAGACTATTGTTGGAACCTTAAGAGGGATGTTCCTGAGGTGCAACACAGCAGAAAATCATATACAAATACCTGTTAGAAGACTACGTTACAATATACACCTGTATACGCATATTGCAAATATAAGCAACATAGTGTAAATTTCAACTGGATGTCACTCCAAAACGTTACGTGATAGAGAATTTCTAAGCAGATATCTGAGTTCACAACTAAAAACAGAACTAGAATAATCCCTGTTCATTTCTGTGACAGAAATTTTTTTTTATTTTGTTTACCAGTGTTATTAGTGATTCTTACATCAAGATATGTAATGCTGTCGGGGAATATCTCAGGGTTGAAAATATAACTGGGAAATATGCTGTTAAACTGATCGACAAATTAATTAATAATTAGATGTTTCTCCTTCCCAAATAAGGAAGATATCATCAGTATATCTTAGCCAGCATTTGAAATGATCAATGAACAAAGGCATGGGATAAATGTTGTGTTCCTGCATATACCCAACAAACAAATGTGCAAAGGATGGGACAGCAGAACTGCCCATGGCAGTGCCGCATATTTGGGTATAGATGATCCCCTCAAATGCAAAAAAATTGTTTTTTAAGTACAAAACATAAACAATCAATAAGGTATTCACACGGGAGATTCTGGGCCTTCGAACCGGACCAGAAATGTTTTAACCGCTACCAAACCTGCTTCATTGGGTATGCCTGTATACAAGGATGAAATGTCCATTGATGCTAATTTCCAATTTACATCAAATGCCAAGAATCCGCAGAATTGAATCAAAATATCCCGTGTCCCTGACATATGCCGGCAGGTTCTCAACCAACAGTTGAAGATGAAAATCCAGTAGTTGACCCAAAGGTTGAGTGATTGACCATGTACCAGAAACAATTGGCCTATATTTTAAAGGGTTTATACCCTTGTGAATTTTAAATAACCCATATATCACAGGTAGTTTTGGGTTTTTGTCCATCAAGAATTCAGTTGTCTAGAGATCCAGCCATTGGCTTGGCCAATGGTGATGTGAGAATTTAGAATGTTCATAATGCCTTGTGTAGGATCCACAGTGAGTTGTAGATAACTACTAGTATCAGCTAACACTGACAACATTGCCGCCCTATAGTTTTTATAGTCCATGATCACAATAGCAACGCCCTTATCCACGTAGTAAACGCACGTGGTGGCGCAGGTGATATGCGTCACCATGACACTGTCAGCCGCTGCACCAATAGGACCACTTTAGGTTTGTCTTCATTGCAGCTCACTTGACAATAGGAGACACACCCCGACATCTCTAGGCAGCAGCTATTAGCTTCTGTCAGGGACATATATGCTGCTGACCGTTGTTTACATAATACAGCACTGCTTTCAGCTGACACTTTATTACAATCTGGGGAGTACTATGATACACATGTGACCACAATGTTTATATCCCCAGATTGCAGTTTATGCACATGTGATTATAGTTTTATGGTTTATAATATTTCTGTTTACATTGATTTGAATGCATTTTTGCAGGGAACATGACATCATGGGGCGGGGCCAGCTCATTTTACTTTACTGTGATTGGTGGATGGTTTTCTTAAATAGTTCTCCAGTTTCTGTTACAATATGTCACATGCCTGATGAAGGG